TTAAGGTTGAAATCATTAGAAGAAGAATAAAATAACCCAAAGTCAGTCGTACTTTTTAGGTACCAAGAAATTCTTCTAGTGACTTTCAAATGAGTGGAGAATAGGAGCTTCCGTGAAGCGGTTACTACTCCAACTGCAAAGAGTATATCTGGCCTGGTACAAGTCAAGTACCTCAAACTTCCCACAAGACTTTTGAAAAATGTGGGATCCACTTTTCTCCTTCATCAAACTTGGACAATTTTGTCCACTCTCCATCGGTGTGTTCGCGGGGTTGCATTCGAGCATGTTGAACTTCTTCAATATCTCTTTTGTATAGCTTTCTTGAGAGATAAAAATTCCATCCTCCATCTACTTCACTTCTAGGCCCAGGTAGTATGACATGAGCCCTACGTCTGTCATCTCAAACTCACAGGACATATCTTTCTTAAAAGCTTCAAACAAACTTGAGTTATTGCCCGTGAAAATAAGATCATCAACATAAAGACAAACAAGTAAGAAATCTCCATTAGTATGAACTTTAAGTTAAAGAGCATATTCATGGAGACAACTAGTAAACCCATTGTCTTGAAAGTACTTGTCGATGCAACTATTCCATGCTCGTGGGGCTTGCTTTAATCCATATAAAGCTTTCTTCAACCGCAACACTTTATCTTCATGGTTTTTGACCACAAAGCCTAATGGTTGTTCAACATAGACTTCTTCTTCAAGATAGCCATTCAAGAAGGCTGACTTGACATCTAGTTGATGGATCTTCCACTTCATTTGTGCCGCCAAAGAGATCAACAAACGAATCGTCTCCATGTGGGCAAAGGTGCATAGACTTCTTCATAGTTCAATGCCTTGCCTTTGCTTGTAGCCTTTAGCCACAAGTCGTGCCTTGTATTTCTCTACATCTCCATCTGCATTCTTCTTTATTTTGTATACCCATTTCACTCCAATTGCTCGATGACCCTTAGGAAGAGTTGTTAACTCCCAAGTGTTGTTCTTCTCTATTGACTCAATCTCCTCCTCCATGGCTTGTCTCCACTTTTTGTTTGTAAACAGCTTCATCAAAGTTCATTGGTTCACTGTGTCAGCAAAGAGACAACATAAAAAATCAAAATTAGTAACTTCTTCTGTGTCCTCATAGAGCTCTTGAATGCTCCTTGTCCTTTGCGGTTGTTCATTTGAAAACTTTATTGAGAAGAGGGAGATGCAACATTGGTTGGAGAAGGAGGTGGAGTTGTATCCTGCACAGGTTCCACGGTCTCTGGTTCTTCTTCATCACCAAAGTATGGAAGAAAATCATATGAAGTTTCTTCCTGAGCATCCCAATCCCATGCCAATTCTTCATCAAATTTAACATCGCGACTTACCCACCACCTTGGCCCGCTGCTTGGGTTGTATAACTTGTAGCCTTTTGAACTCGTATCATAGCCAACAAACACATAATTGACACTTTGATCGTCAAGCTTTGCTCTCCCTTGATGTGGCACATGAGCATAGGTTATGCTCCCAAAGATTCTCAAATGTTTGACACTTGGCTTTCTTCCACTCCATGCCTTCTTGAGGGGTTTGATCTCTAAACATTTCTTGTTGGAGACCTGTTGTTCAAATAAACTGCACAAGAAACAGCTTCGGCCAAAATTCCTTGGTGCATACTTTTAGCTTTCAACATACATCTAGCCATATTAAGAATCGTTTCGATTCTTTCTCTCTGCAACACCGATTTTGTTGGGTGAATAAGGTACGTTAGAGGGTGACGAATTCCATGAGACTGACAAAAGTCATTAAATTCGTTTGAATGAATTGCCTCCCTCTATCGGACCTTAAGAGGTTTTAATTTTATAGCCACTTTCTTTCTCCACAAGTACTTTGAAATTTTTAAAAAGCAGCAAAAGCTTCAGATTTTTGGTTCAAGAAATAAATCCAAGTCTTTCTACTAAAGTCATCAATGAAAAGAAGAAAGTATCTACTTTTACCAAAGAAGGTGGATTGATTGGTCCACACACATCAAGTGTGAACAAGCTGGAGCGGCTTGGTTGATCTTGACATAAGCTCCTTTGGAGAACTCCTCCTGCATGTTTTTCCAAGAAGACAAGCTTCACACAGTTGATTTGGATGGTTGATTGATGGTATCCCATGTACCATGTTCTTTTTCTCCCATTTGATTTGAGCGCTTCAAAAATTCAAGTGTCCAAATGCATGTGCCAACATTGATTCCATCTTGCACATTAGCCTTCAAACACTTTGCATCAATTGTTTTAAAGATTTAGAGAAAGAAAAAAAATATCTATTCTTTGCCAATATGTACTTTAGCAATTAGGATTCCACTTGAAATCTCTTAAGCCAAAGATGCATATTTTTCATGTGGATGTCATATTCTTTTTCAAGAAGTTTGGCCTAAACTCAAAATATTACTTTTTATTTTGGCACATAATAGACATCTTGAATTAGCTTGTGATCACCATTTTTACAGGAGATCAGAATCGTACTATCCCTTCGATTTGAATCTTTGAGGTATACTCCAAAAGGACACATTACCTCTCACCGTTTTTATGATCTCTACAAACTTTTCCTTTGCATCCACACATATGATTGCTTGCTCCATTGTCCAAGTACCACGAGCTGCAATCATCCCTGTGTTTCTTCCTTGAGTGCCAAGCATTAACGTTGACTCAGCTTCTTCTTTCTTGTCGTCAACAAGGTTAGCTTTCTCTTCAACATTGCTACGACATTTCCTAAGAGTAATGGCCAAATTTATGACAATTATAGCACTCAATTTTTGATTTGTCATACCTTTGTCCATTATTTTCTTTGGTAATAGCCATGTCCTCTTCCTCCTCTTTGTCCACGAGCACGACCTCTGAATGCTTGGTGGATTTTAACTTCATTGTGAAGTTGTTACCATTACTTCTTCCTCGTCCATGACCGCCACGGCCTCGTCCTCGGCCATTCCCTCGATAGTTTCTTTCACCTCCATAATCCTTAAAGGATGCCTGAGTTTTAAGAAGTTGCTCCAGTGGCACTTCTTGTTCTCCTTGATCTTTTCTTCATGAGCCTGTAAAGAACCCTCCATATTGCTCCAACATCATTGAGTCTAAATCTTTAAGACTCTTCAATAGCACACACCACAAAATCGAATTTAGGTGTTTAAGTGCGAAGGATCTTTTCTACCACACGGACATCTTTTATGTCTCCCCGTATCTTCTTAATTGATTCACAACTGCCTTCACTTTTGAACAATAATCGCGAAATGCATTCGATTCTTTCATTTTTAAAACTTCAAAACTGGGGGCCAAGAATGGCTTTCATACGTAGACAACCATTTCTCATAATTATCTTTTGTGAGACAGGGGTACGAAAAGACAGCGGACCATTGGTCGCCATGGCTCTGATACCACGTTGTTGGGAATAAAAAAATAATATTCCCACCCAGGAATAATATCCACGATAAATAATATTAACACAAGAGAGTAAACAACGACACCAAATATTTTAAATAGGATAAAATACAATACCCCAGCGGAGCATATTACCACTATAATATATACAACTTAGTAGTGTCAAGAGACTACTACAACTTCGAAAGAAATAACATCTCTTATTTTAAACACCTCACTACAATATTACTCCCACTCACTATTATCTCAAGACTACAATCTGTGGATTACTCTCTCTAACTCTCTGTTGCTTCTCTCGATTTGGTGTGTTTAAAACTGAAACAGGAACACTTCCTTTTATAGGCAAAGTTGCCGTCCAAATTAACCAATCAAAATCATTCTTTGCAATTTGCAGATTTGCAAATTGTCATCTTGTTACCGTCCATATCAACTGTTGCTTTGCAACTTGTTGCTAACTTTGTTTTGCTCTGTGCAACTTGTTGCAATTGCAGCTTGTTTGCCAACTTTCTCCTTTTCTTTACTTTATTAAATGGGTTTCTACAGAAAGCACCTGGCAGCGGAGGACTTGTTTATAATAGGTATTGATGCACAAAAGCCTTATTTTTGAACTTGGTGTTATTAGGTAACTTATCTCCCTATATATGTTTTATTTCTTCATCTTTAATTGGTTTAAATTGTTAAGAATCAAGATTTGAACAGGACCTATATTAAATCTTTGTTAACCCCCTTTCAGCTTTGATGGAAAGGAAATGGTTCACAAAGCGGATCTCATGTTCGATAGTGTTATGTTTGCATGAAATAGGAGTCACAGAAAGGTAAAATTATTTCTATTTTTAACTACTATGATAATTTTTTACTTATCTATAGCTAACTTGGTCCTATCTCAAACATGTAGATACAATGTGATCATGGATTTCCCACTAACTATTGGACATAAGTCGACTTGTTCTGGGGGCTCGTAAGTGTAAATGTTTTTTTCTTTTTACTGAGATTTACATTGATTTAATACAAACCTAGTTAAATTAATTACATCTGTATTATATTGTGATTTATTTAGGTTAATGAGATTTGAAAAAATGGGATACGCAAGAATTGGGTATAATGCCGCTATGGGGATGCCAATTCCATCAAATGGTTTGAGGTCGAACCTTGTTGTGTATTTCACATTCATTAACTGTTTCGAAGATAATGACGAGGTACTTAATAATTTTTTATCTTTGATTCAAGATGTTTACCTAGTCTAACTTATATATTCTCGATATAATTTTTTTACATATTCATGTTTAGCATCGAGCCGCTCGAGACAGAGGCATTACTTTCAAGTTTTTAGTCAATCAGGAGCCCGCCTGGAGAACAGAGGCATTTATTTTCAAGTTTTTAGAAATCAGGAGCACGCCTGGAGAACATAGGCGTTTATTCTCAAGGAAATAAACTGCACAAGAAACAGCTTCGGCCCAAAATTCCTTGGGCATACTTTTAGCTTTCAACATACATCTAGCCATATTAAGAATCGTTCGATTCTTTCTCTCTGCAACACCATTTTGTTGGGGTGAATAAGGTACCGTTAGAGGGTGACGAATTCCATGAGACTGACAAAAGTCATTAAATTCGTTTGAATGAATTCGCCTCCTCTATCGGACCTTAGAGGTTTAATTTTATAGCCACTTTCTTTCTCCACAAGTACTTTGAAATTTTTAAAAGCAGCAAAAGCTTCAGATTTTTGGTTCAAGAAATAAATCCAAGTCTTTCTACTAAAGTCATCAATGAAAAGAAGAAAGTATCTACTTTTACCAAAAGAAGGTGGATTGATTGGTCCACACACATCAGTGTGAACAAGCTGGAGCGGCTTGGTTGATCTTGACATAGCCTCCTTTGGAGAACTCCTCCTTGCATGTTTTCCTAGAAGACAAGCTTCACACAGTTGATTTGGATGGTTGATTGATGGTATCCCATGTACCATGTTCTTTTCTCCCATTGATTTGAGCGCTTCAAAATTCAAGTGTCCAAATCGCATGTGCCAACATGATTCATCTTGCACATTAGCCTTCAAACACTTTGCATCAATTGTTTTAAGATTTAGAGAAAATAATCTATTCTTTGCCATATGTACTTTAGCAATTAGGATTCCACTTGAATCTCTAAGCCAAAGATGCATATTTTTCATGTGGATGTCATATTCTTTTTCAAGAAGTTGGCCTAAACTCAAAATATTACTTTTTAATTTTGGCACATAATAGACATCTTGAATTAGCTTGTGATCACCATTTTTACAGGAGATCAGAATCGTACCTATCCCTTCGATTTGAATCTTTGAGGTATCTCCAAAGGACACATTACCTCTCACCGTTTTATTGATCTCTACAAACTTTTCTTTGCATCCACACATATGATTGCTTGCTCCATTGTCCAAGTACCACGAGCTGCAATCATCCCTGTGTTCTTCCTTGAGTGCCAGCATTAACGTTGACTCAGCTTCTTCTTTCTTGTCGTCAACAAGGTTAGCTTTCTCTTCAACATTGCTACGACATTCCTAAGAGTAATGGCCAAATTTATGACAATTATAGCACTCAATTTTTGATTTGTCATACCTTTGTCCATTATTTTCTTGGTAATAGCCATGTCCTCTTCCTCCTCTTTGTCCACGAGCACGACCTCTGAATGCTTGGTGGATTTTAACTTCATTGTTGAAGTTGTTACCATTACTTCTTCCTCGTCCATGACCGCCACGGCCTCGTCCTCGGCCATTCCCTCGATAGTTTCTTTCACCTCCATAATCCTTAAAGGATGCCTGAGTTTTAAGAAGTTGCTCCAGTGGCACTTCTTGTCTCCTCTTGATCTTTTCTTCATGAGCCTGTAAAGAACCCTCCAATTGCTCCACCATCATTGAGTCTAAATCTTTAGACTCTTCAATAGCACACACCACAAAATCGAATTTAGGTGTTTAAGTGCGAAGGATCTTTTCTACCACACGGACATCTTTTATGTCCTCCCCGTATCTTCTTAATTGATTCACAACTGCCTTCACTTTTGAACAATAATCCGAAATGCATTCGGATTCTTTCATTTTTAAAACTTCAAACTGGGGGCCAAGAATGGCTTTCATACGTAGACACCATTTCTCATAATTATCTTTTGTGAGACAGGGGTACTGAAAAGACAGCGGACCATTGGTCGCCATGGCTCTGATACCACGTTGTTGGGAATAAAAAAATAATATCCCACCCAGGAATAATATCCACGATAAATAATAATAACACAAGAGAGTAACAACGACACCAAATATTTTAATAGGATAAAATACAATACCCCAGCGGAGCAATATTACCACTATAATATTACAACTTAGTAGTGTCAAGAGACTACTACAACTTCGAAAGAAATAACACTCTTTATTTTAAACACCTCACTACAATATTACTCCCACTCACTATTTATCTCACAGACTACAATCTGTGGATTACTCTCTCTAACTCTCTGTTGCTTCTCTCGATTTGGTGTGTTTAAAACTGAAACGGAACACTTCCTTTTATAGGCAAAGTTGCCGTCCAAATTAACCAATCAAAATCATTCTTTGCAATTTGCAGATTTGCAAATTGTCATCTTGTTACCGTCCATATCAACTTGTTGCTTTGCAACTTGTTGCTAACTTTGTTTTGCTTCTGGTTGCAACTTGTTGCAATTGCAGCTTGTTGCCAACTTTCTCCTTTTCTTTACTTTATTAAATGGGTTCTACAGAAAGCACCTGGCACAGGAGGACTTGTTATAATAGGTATTGATGCACAAAAGCCTTATTTTGAACTTGGTGTTATTTCAGGTAACTTATCTCCCTATATATGTTTTATTTCTTCATCTTTAATTGGATTTAAATTGTTAAGAATCAAGATTTCGAACAAGGACCTATATTAAATCTTCGTTAACCCCCTTTCAGCTGATGGAAAGGAAATGGTTCACAAAGCGGATCTCATGTTCGATAGGTGTACAGTTTGCCATGAAATAGGAGTCACAGAAAGGTAAAATTATTTTCTATTTTTAACTTATATGATAATTTTTTACTTATCTATAGCTAACTTGGTCCTATCTCAAACATGTAGATACAATGTGATCATGGATTTCCCACTAACTATTGACATAAGTCGACTTGTTCTGGGAGGCTCGTAAGTGTAAATGTTTTTTTCTTTTTACTCGAGATTTACATTGATTTAATGACAAACCTAGTTAATTAATTACATCTGTATTATATTGTGATTATTTAGGTTAATGAGATTTGAAGAAAATGGATACGCAAGAATTGGTATAATGCCACGCTATGGGGATGCCAATTCCATCAAATGGTTTGAGGTCGAACCTTGTTGTGTATTTCACATCATTAACTGTTTCGAAGATAATGACGAGGTACTTAATATTTTTATCTTGATTCAAGATGTTTTACCTAGTCTAACTTATATATTCTCGATATAATTTTTTTACACTATCAGTTCACTTGAAAGTAGTTACTTACATATAAGCACCCACAAAAGCAACATTAGTAACCAGTGGCGGATCCAGGATATAATGTTTATGGGTTCCTGCAACGATTTCGAATAAATTTTCAATAGTAACTAGGTTCACATTTAAATATTTGTAGATATTCAATAAATTTTTAGAACACATTTACACAGTTTGAATAAAAGCTACTGGGTTCACGGGAACCCGTAGATTACATGTTTAATCGAAATGCTCATTTGCAAAGGTGGTGGTGAGAGCATGTAGAGCTCGTCAATCAGCTATACCAGGACCTAATTCTAGAGTCAACCATTTTGAGAAATGGTTAAGGGGAAGAAGTTCCAAAGATGACAGAATTGAATTCACCAAAGAATCAACTTTTCCTCGTGTTTGTGAATGGAGATTGAACATGAAAACTGGAGAGGTTAGAGTGAAGAAGAATCTATCTGGTGACGAGTTTGCAATGGAATTCCCATCGATCAATGAAAACTTCACTGGATTTAGAAATAAGTTTGCTTATCTACAAGTTGTTGAGTCAACTGAAATATCTGGCTCAGGTACAAATTTTGACAGCCTTGTTACTTTTCTTGGAAATAATTCGAGCTTTTCACTCATTAATTATATTTAAAAATTTAACAGGATTCACAAGATTTGGAGGACTAACCAAGCTTCATTTTGAAGAAAAAAGAATCCCTACGGTAGTTATTCATGTATACTATACTTTCATATACTAATTAATCTATTTCCGTGACCAAATTTTTTCACTTTTGGAATTGGGAAATATATAGGAGGAAGAAGATGAATTGGTTAAAGCTGAATATCACATGTTGCCCAACAACACCTTTTGTTCTGGAGCTTCCTTTGTTCCAAAACCTGGAGGAGTCGACGAGGACGATGGTTGGATTATCACATTTACGCATAATGAAAATGAAAATATTTCTCAAGTATGTAAGATTTTGGTTGACGCTCTTTTTTTCTTTATAAATATTTTGTGAAAATACAGTACTGGAATTGAAAGCTAATTAATCCACGCCTATTAATTTCTTTGTTGCAGGTTTATATAGTTGATGCAAAGAAATTTACGAATGAGCCAGTTGCCATAATCACATTACCAAGTAGGGTGCCATACGGATTTCATGGAGCTTTCATGCCATTAGAATCTTAGGGGTCGTTTGGTAGGGTGTATAAGAATAGTACATGTGCGAAATAAGGTGTATTAGTAATGCAGGGATTAATTATGCGGATATTATTTCTTATCTACTGTTTGGTGTGGTGTATTAAAAATTGTAACGCATTGCATAATTTTTAAGAAAAATGGTTATTTACAAAAATGCCCTACATATTCTCTAGCTTTAAGGGACTTTAAGGATAATTTTGTCTTTAACCATACTAATGCATGCAGTAATGGCCATTGTATTACTAATGCCATGGTTTTGTATGCATTACTTATACACAAGATAATACCAAGTATGATGTATAACTAATACAAGCATTAGTTATACACATGTTGAAAAAATGTACCAAACAAGGTATTAGTAATGCACAGAGCTAATGCTTGCATTATTTTTTCTAATACCTCCTACCAAACGACCCCTTAGTATTTATAACACTCAAAAGCTTGTCAGTATATGCTATCACTATTTTTATGATAGTATTTTACTCTTGTTTTTTCAAATCTGTTTTGGAAATACTTTTCTTGAGCTGGTCCCGTATTTTTCAAATTTGTTTTGGAAATTGTTTAACCAAAAATAGATTTTTCTGCCAAAGTCAATATTTAGAAGAAAACTGGTTACTGATAACCAAGATTAATTACTTCACCTTCCCAACAATTTTAGAAAGAATATATCAAAAAATGGAAATGATTAGCAAAGAAAAATAAGAAATGAACTGACAATCACTCCCCAAAATCAAGGCTTAAAATTTGAAGAGTAAATCAAAGAATAATGGTATGTATTTCAATGATAATCGTAACTTTTTCTTACAAATGGGATTTCTGTCCTTATATAGGAGCATATAATTATAACGTCACACTTAATTTGGGCTCACTAATGGCATTAATTGTATTGATTGCCCGTTACCATAGGTAACCGTAACTGGCACATTTATAACTAAAGATTCCTTGTAATTGCTCAGGTTCCCCTTCCTTACTTACTTCTGGTTCATGTCTCTTCCCTTCTTTGCGGCCTTCATTTATTTCGTTCATGTTTCTTCCTTGACAGCTGTCAGGCCTGGTTCTTTTCTCTATGTTATCCCGTGGGTGTTTCTCCCGTGCCTTTCCTGCATTCTTAATTACCTAATTGAGTGTGTCACTTGTTACTATATCGATGCTCCACATATCATGCCCCATCAGCTTACTGATAGTCCACGTGTCATATTTTTTTCCACCAATACAAAAATACTTTTTTGACCTGAGTTTCTATCAGAAACAGCTTCTCTATTTTATACAAGATAGGGCTAAAATCTGCGTACGCTCTACCCTCTCAAGGCCCCATTTGTAGGATTAGGCTTGGTATGTTGCTGACGTTGTATGGATTCCACGATTCATGAAGGTTTCAGCAATGAGTACAAGAACCATTTTTGCATGAAAAAAGATGCTAGTGTAATAAATTAATTGAAAGTCCACATAATTTTGTCTACAGCTAAGATGCTAAAGACGAATCTTCCCCTAGGTAGATGCTAGGGGAAGATCAATTAATTGAAAGTACACATATTTTTGTCTACAGCTAAGATGCTATTGAAGAATCTTCCCCTAGTTAGATGTTATGATTATAAATTGTAATTGTTGTACTAATTCTCCTTTATGTGATGTAATGGAACTTTTATTGACACTGTACCTCTTAAAGCATCTGGTGATGCATGTAAAATGCGATTAAGAAATTTAATATATATATGCAATTCCAATTATTGATGGGAATCTATTTTGGTATATACTGGTTGGTTTCGTTGGTAATTTTATTGTTTGGCTTTTAATTTCAATTATATAAACTATCTTTAATTAATATGCGTTTAATTTGGTTTCTAATTTATATAATCAGGTAACATTCAAATTCAATTTTCAATTTAAACTATTGATTAATATGTAAAATTTCCTCTTAAGAATCAGTTGTTTGAATTTATTTTTTCCAGAAAACAGTCACATCGCGGATATGAACTTTATAGTGTCAATTTTGGCTTGGACAGTAGCAAAACAGTCCTTTACCACTCGTATAAATGCATAGGCTAAATTCTTTTTTGGTCTTACATATGAATCCTAGCTATACTCCAGTCTCATGAAAGTTCAAAATTTTTGTTCCGATAAATTCATAATTACAATCACAATGCTAATTAGCCAAGAAGCACTTAATAATAGGAATATGCCACATCTGATACTGATTAATATATCCATCTTGAGAACCAGAAACCTCCAAACGGTGCAGTTGTCAGACGCTATATGTATCTGTAGTTGGATGGTCTTGTGTGCTTGACTAACAAATAAAAAGATTTTGAACAGTCACTTGATCATTAAACAAATTAATTAAAAAAAAATATTTTTTCGAAGGGTGTGGTGAAATGGATGAGATTCCACCATTCTTAATCAAATGTCCCCAATTTGAGTTCATGAGATAGAGAAACTCCTAATAGGGAGCACCTCCTCTTTAATAGCCCATACACAACATGAATCAGGATTAATCAGGTTAGTAAATTTCGGACACTAATGAATAGTGAATAAAAAAATACTTGACAGTCACTTGATAATTTTAAATTATGAGAAATGCCATTTTCCAAAGTTAAGTCATGCATAACGCCAACCAAAAGATGCTTCTATCTAAGGAATTGGATCCTCATTGTTTAGGCCTGTCTCCTTCAAACTATAAATAACCTCTCATTTATGCCAAAAAGTTAAGACGGCAAATTATTTTTTAACAGTATAACTAAGAGGCAGTGATAGAGAAGGGGAGGATGACTTTTTGTAGTTACACATTTCAAGTAAATTGCTCTTATCAAAGGCCTTCTATTCCAAGTAAAGTTCAGGACGTGAAAGTCTCAATCTCATCTGCTTTGAACGTAAACTTCCCTCTAGTCATTGTGCAAATTTTTTGCTATATATCATTCTTCAAAAGAAAATCTTATATTGCTTGGTTTTGAATTGATGAAACAGCCATTATCAAGGGACTTGGTGCATTTTCCAATTGTTGCTGCGGACATTCCAAAAGCTATCAAGGAGACTTCTTTCAAATTATTAGATGCCTTTGTGGACTTAGTATTTGAATTTGTTGATCAGCCATTACTCCCTTCTCAGGTATGTCCATTAATTAGTTACCAGACTCAGTTCTTTAAAAAACGAGCGTCTATCGGAAATAGTCTCTCCACCTTCACAAGGTAGGGGTAAGGCTGCGTACACACTGCCCTACCCAAACTTTTGTGGAATTAAACCGAGTCTGTTGTTGTTGGTTCTTGAAAATTAGCTACTTGTTTCTGCTCACTTATGTAATTAATTTTGATAGAGTAATTTTGCACCAGTGGAAGAGATTGGAGAAGCTGTCCTAGTTACTACAGTGGAAGGAAAAATTCCAGATGATTTTCCGGAGGGAGTTTACATAAGAAATGGTCAGTATTAATTCTTACATTTTCACCTCCTGTCCTTCTCTTAATTTTCATTTTTCCTTTTCCGTGATAAGAAATTTGTGATCAATACATTAAAATTAACGATATATGCATAAAGTGTTTGATTTCAACATAGTCGTTGTTCCATGTATCTAAAATTCTATAAGCTGGAAACTGCATACTCGCCTTCTGTCTCATTTGGTGGCGACAGCTCTGCAAGAAAACAAATTAGACTTGGTTAGAGTGGTTTGTTAAACATGCATACTGGTTTTACTTGTTGTCTTCTGCTAAATTTGACCAATGTTTGGTTCGTTCGAGGCCAACTCATACGAACAACAACAAGTACATCAAAGTTTATAACATGCTCGTCAAAAGCAAATTTTGATAATTTTAGTTGTTAAAAAAAAAAACGCTTTTGCTAGGTTCTTGTAAACTTAAATAACTCCCTTTGCAGGCTCAAATCCTCTGTTTGGAGGACTCAAATCGACCAAGTCGATATTTGGGAAATCAAGCCATGTTTGGATTGAAGGGGAAGGAATGCTTCATGCTTTGTACTTCACAAAAGAAAAAGGAAGAGGAACTTGGAATATATTCTACAATAACAAACACGTCCGAACTGACACTTTCAAAATGGAAAAAGATGGAAAGAAACCAGGTTTTCTTCCAGCTATTGAAGGAGATTCTCCTGCCATTTTAGTGGCTTACATTTTGAATGGGGTATGATACTATTCGAATAAATATTAGTAGTATCTGAGATAGTAGTATTGTATCTTAGGAACAAGAAATGAGGTGGATTGATATGATGTATGAATCTCAGTATTGTTTGTTTTGCGCGCATTGCAGTTGAGATTTGGCATGGAAAACAAATATCTAAGCAATACAAATATTTTTGAGCACTCAAAGAAATACTACTCTATTGCTGAAAATCATATGCCTCAAGAGATAGACATAAGTTCCCTTGAAACTCTGGGCAATTGGAATATCGATGGAGCTTGGGATCGACCATTCACTAGCCATCCAAAGGTAATTAAGTTCTAAAAAATTCTCAGTGTGTGCGCCTCTGTGCAAGAGTACTGTTCAACATCTTAAACTCAGTTTTTATCAATTTATTTAGGATTCTTTAATTGATAGCCTTCTTGTTTAATGCAGAAAGCCCCTGGAACTGGTGAACTTGTTATAATGGGGATATATCCAAGAAAACCTTATTTTGAGCTAGGAGTCATTTCAGGCATGTTGCATGCAATATTTCCTTTTAAACTTGTGTAGAAATTTGGTAACAATTTGTTAATTAGTGTAATCCTACTTTCAGCTGATGGCAAGAAAATGGTTCACAAAGTAGATCTCAAATTCAATAGGTGTAGCCTTTGCCATGAAATAGGAGTTACACAAAAGTAATCTCCCTTTTTTCTTCTCTTTTTCTTTTTCCTTCAAATCCCAGCTTTAGAGAAAGTTTTAAACCTATGATATTATTAAGTTGATGTCTTTGCTAATTCTGTATTACTGATTATCCATAGGTACAATGTGATCATGGATTTTCCGTTAACCATTGATATAAATCGACTCTTTATGGGAGACTCGTGAGTACTTTAGTTCATCTGGTTCTATTAATGATGTTGCAAACTAATGAAATCATTTTGATTAGTATATCTTGCTATATCTTCTGGTTTATAGATTGATAAAGTATGACAAAGATGGATATGCGCGGATTGGAGTAATGCCTCGCTATGGTGATGCTAATTCTGTTAAATGGTTTGAGGTTCAACCCTGCTGCGTACTTCACCTAGTAAATTGTTTTGAAGACAATGATGAGGTAATTTTACTTCTGTTTATAACTAAACTTAGTTCAACATCTTATATATGAGTGATTGACCAATATAACTTTATATGTGATTCCATTTTGTTCGGTAAAAGGTGGTAGTAAGGGCATGCAGAGCTAGTGAATCGGTATTACCAAGACAACAAAGTTTCAAAGGTTCTAAAGAGATAAGTTCCGCAGAAAACAACAATGAATATTCAGATGAACCATTCTTTGTTCATGTTTGTGAATGGAGACTAAACATGAGAACAGGAGAGGTAAAGGAGAAAAATGCCACAACTGAGTTCTCTATGGAATTCCCTATGATCAATGAGAAGTTCGTCGGTTTAAGAAACAAATTTGGTTATCTACAAGTGGTAGATTTAGAAGCTAGCTCTATTTCAGGTAACTATCATTTGCAGTTGACACCCTTCTGAATTTCTTCTCTTTTTTTGTTTTTGGTTGCTAACGACTATGTAAATTGATATTTTGAAACTTTAATCAGAAGGATTGGCTAAATATGGAGGGCTTGCCAAACTTCATTTTCAAGAATATGAGGAATTGGTTGAAGTTGAGTATCATATGTTCCCAAAGGGCACTTTTTGCAGTGGAGCAACCTTTGTTCCAAAAACTCAAGGCACTGATGAGGATGATGGTTGGGTTGTGACATTCACACACAATGAAACTACAAATGTATCTCAAGTGAGTTATCATAACTATAGCTAAATATAAGGCAGCCCGGTACACAAATCATCCCTCATTCATGCAGGATTAAGGGAAGTGCCATACCCTAAGTGGTGTGACGCAGACAGCCTACCATAACGATATAATCTTTCCAAAATGTTATGTAGGCTATTAAATTTGGTACTTTGCAAGTGAAAGTCAATACTAATTTAAGGTACATAATATTTCATGCAGGTCTATGTAGTTGATGCAAAGAGTTTTGCAACACAGCCTGTTGCCATAATCACATTATCAAGTAGAGTGCCCTATGGATTTCATGGAGCTTTCATGCCTTTGTAACTCAATGTTATTTACAGTATCAGGAGGTCCAGGAGATGGTGGAATTAACTACTATGTGATACTAACAAAAATAGCTTATAGCACATACCATTTAAACGAGCTATTTGTGTACATGATGCTCTGATCATTTTTTTTTTTTTACCAATTTTTTTTGGTCGAAAATGGAAAATTTTATTCTTACCAAGTTTATATCTCCGCAAATGAGTTGATGTATATAAGAGGCTGTATAACTATATGGGGTCGTTTGTTTTAGGAGTACTACTCGTGTAAAAATCGTAACATAAAAAATGTTAAATAATAATAATATAGGAAGGGATATTTGGGTCATAGACTAGCCATGTTGGAATGGAATTATAATATAGTAATCTATATTTATATTTATATCTATATCTATCTATCTATACTTCTATATATCTATTTTTCTATCTATATATATCTATTCTATCTATATTTATTATAAAAGCACGAATAATTTAGGCTAAATGTTGAACGACTAAAATATTCTTGAAACATTGATCGACTTTTATAACCTTAAATATTTGTATAATTTAAGGATATAATTGTAAATCATCTAAGGGTAAAATTCTTTTCCTATTTAAATTGCATATACAACAAGCAAAAATAAAAAAGTGTGAAGGTGGAATAGTACTCCAATTCAAATTAATTTTGGATTCATCTTCCCGCACCAATTCGCTGCTACCCTCCTCTCCCATATTTTACAACCAAAAGAAAACACCAAGAAATAAAGAAAACCCAATACTCTTTCTCTCTATGCAAAGTTTTTTGCCTACTTCTTGGACAACATATACTTCGTATCTTCTTCTTTTTGGACGCGAATACTTTGTTCAGTTATGTTTTTCCCAATTTGTGTGGGATTTAGATTTATTAATTATACAAAGATAATAGATTCTTGGAACGTTAAAGTCGCAATGTCATAGTTTGCTTCAAATCCTAATTATCAGTTTATCATCATTTCATCCAAATTTAAATATTTTTAAAGGGTTAAAGAGTTGATCAATATCTCAATATAATTATACTTGATTTTTAATCATATGAATCACTCATATATAAGAATCTAAATTAAAAAAATACTCCTCAGATGGTACCATTATAATAAGAAAGAGATACACACATAAATAAATTAAAGTTGTGTTCTTAGTACCTAACTAAGAGAAGATGAGAGGAATAGTACGAGCAACTAGATTGTTGTTATATAATCATTTAAAATGAGACCGCACCTTTGATGAGTATAATAATTTCTTTTCCTTTATAATTTATGCGGGACTTTGGTGTACCAATAAGCTATCGCGCGTGCCTTTCTCATCAGAGCTTGACTTTTCAAGCCAAAAAATGACTGGTATTTTTAAAACTATATTTAGTAAATATTTTCAATACGTTTTATATTTGTAATAGCAATAAATAAATGATATGATCGATCAAATCCCTAATGTTAGATTATTTGTCATGACATATTTTTCAAATGGGCAAGAAGAATAAAGGAATATATACCAAGACATCATGTTTAAAGAGGTATCAATGGTCATATTGGGGCGTCTACAGGAGGTTATACTGAGGTGCATGGCGGCTTTGGTTTCGGGGAGCGGAACGAAGGGGGCACTTCGCTGTTGAACTTTGCCAAGGCATTTGATCTAGTGATTGCGAACTCAAGTTTTCCGAAGCAGGAGGAGCATTTGGTTACTTACCAAAGTTCGGTGGCGAAGACTTAGATTGACTATCTCCTCCTCAGGAGATGCGACAGAAGGTTGTGCGAGGATTGCAAGGTTATCCCAGGTGAGACCCTTGCAACGCAACATAGGCTTCTGGTGATGGACACTGGTATTATGACAAGGAGGAAGAAGAGGTCAGTACGAGGCCGCCCGAGGATTAGGTGGGGCGCCTTGACTAAGGATAAAGCTCAAGAGTTGGAAGGAAGGTTATCGGCAATGGGAGTTTGGAGAAGTAGTGGGGACGCAAACACTATGTGGTCGTCGACGGCGGACTATATAAGGAAGGCGGCGAGAGAGGTGTTAGGGATATCTTCGGGCCGCATCGGTGGCCACATAGGAGACTGGTGGTGGAATGCCGTTGTTCAGGGTAAATTGGAAGCAAAGAAGACGGCTTACCTGCGGTTAGTAGAGAGCACTAGCGAGGAGGAGAAGAGAGCGAGCAGGGAGAGGTATAAGGTAGCTAGGAAGGAGGCGAAGATGACAGTAACAGAGGCTAAGACGGCAGCTTTTGCTCGTCTGTATGAGGAACTAGGGAACAAAGGCGGGGAGAAGAAGTTATTCCGACTCGCTAAGGTGAGAGAGAGGACAGCTCGGGATCTAGACCAAGTGAGGTGCATAAAAGATGATAACGGTAAAGTTTTGATGGGGGATGACCAGATTAAGAGGAGATGGCAGACCTACTTTCATAAACTTCTAAATGAAAAAGGGGATTAGGATATTGTTCTAGGTGAATTGAGAAATGCCGACAGTCCCCATGAATTAAGTTATTGTAGGGACATTGAGGTCGATGAGGTCATGGAGGCAATGCGTAAGATGAGAAGGGGCAGAGCTACCGGGCCAGACGAGATTCCGTTGAACTTAGGTGTGTGGGTAGAGCAGGCTTGGAATGGCTTACTGGGTTGTTTAGTGTTATATTCAAGACTAATAGGATGCCTGAAGAGTGGAGGTGGAGTACAATGGTTCCGTTGTATAAGAACAAAGGCGATATCCAGAGCTGTAACAACTATAGGGGTATCAAATTGCTGAGTCATACCATGAAAGTCTGGGAGAGAGTAGTAGAAATGAGAGTGCGAAGGATGATGTCTATTTCAGACAACTAGTTCGGGTTCATGCCGGGGCGATCTACCACAGAAGCTATCAACCTTATTAGGAGGATGGTGGAATAATACAGGGATAAGAAGAAGGATCTCCACATGGTGTTTATTGATCTAGAGAAAGCATACGACAAGGTCCCTAGGGAGGTCTTATGGAGCTGCTTAGAGGTTAAAGGGGTTCCGGTTGCCTACATTAGGGCTATTAAAGACATGTATGATGGAGCTAAGACTAGGGTTAGGACAGTAGGAGGCGACTCCGAGCATTTTCCGGTTGTTACGGGGTTGCACCAAGGGTCTGCGTTCAGCCCTTTCCTATTTGCCCTGGTGATGGATGCCATAACGCATCATATTCAAGGGGAGGTGCCATGGTGCATGCTATTTGCTGATGACATAGTCCTAATTGACGAGACACGACGCGGCGTCAACGAGAGGCTAGAGGTTTGGAGACATGCCCTTGAGTCTAAAGGTTTCAGGTTGAGCAGGACGAAGACGGAATACCTCGAGTGCAAATTTGGGGCTGAGCCGACGGAAGCGGGAGTGGAAGTGAGGCTTGACTCACAAGTCATTCCTAGGAGGGGTAGTTTCAAGTACCTTGGGTCAGTTATTCAGGGGATCGGGGAGATCGACGAGGATGTCACACACCGTATAGGGGTGGGGTGGATGAAGTGGAGGTTAGTATCGGGAGTCCTGTGTGATAAGAAAGTGCCACCGTTACTAAAAGGTAAGTTTTATAGAGCAGTGGTTAGGCCGGCCATGTTGTATGGGACCGAGTGTTGGCCGGTTAAGAACTCACACATCCAGAAAATGAAAGTAGCAGAGATGAGGATGTTGAGGAGGATGTGTGGGCATACAAGGATGGATAAGATTAGGAATGAAGATATTCGAGAGAAGGTGGGCATGGCCCCCATGGAGGACAAGATGCGGGAAGCAAGACTCAGATGGTTCGGGCACATTCATAGGAGGAGCACTGATGCACCGGTGAGGAGGTGTAAGCGACTGGTTGTGGTGGGCACGAGGAGAGGTAGAGGGAGACCTAAGAAGTATTGGGGAGAGGTGATCAGGCAGGACATGGCGCGACTTAGGATTACTGAGGACATGGCCCTTGACAGGGAATTGTGGAGGTCGACCATTAAGGTTGTAGAGTAGGGGGAAGTTGTGAATATTTCTACAGCGCACTAGAGCGAGACTAGCCAGTTAGGAGTTAGTCCTAGGATGCTACTGGTCAGTTACTAATGCAGGGCTTTATCTGCTGGATATTATTATACCTTCCATCTTTTTCGTATTTCCTATATTTCTTATATTGCTGTTAGTTTGTTATTTTATGATATTTTATGTTATGTTATGTAGTTTATGTTATTTTATTATGAGTTAATTGATAGTACTAATATATCGTCTCTTGTTGCTTTCTTGAGCCGAGGGTCTCCTGGAAACAGCATCTCTGCCCCTCGGGGTAAGGGTAAGGTCTGCGTACATATTACCCTCCCCAGACCCCACTTGTGGGATTATACTGGGTCGTTGTTGTTGTTGTTGTTGATCTAATAACATTTCTTGACCTCATAAAATAAATTTAACGCAATTAAAAATAGTATTACATAATATCGATGTTTGTGATGATTGTCTAAGGATAACGTGTCTATATACTATATTAAAAGCACGAAGGTACTTAGCGAAATGTCATTCGCCTTTTTTACCCTTCAAAAATAGATTTTATACTAAACAAAATAGTAATTTGACTATCTTCCTAATATTTCAACTAAAATTTAAAATTCTATATATTAAATATTTTGTCTGATTACGTAGAATGTCCTAATATTTGAATCTTTGAAGTCAATTAAGATTTACCTTATATAAACATTATATACTAATATTTAGACGGTAGCTTATAATGAACTTTAAGTTCAGTTAGAATTATGGAATTTATGGCAATTAGATAGGTCATAGGAGAGATTAAATCCAATTCGATTCAAATTCATTGTAGTAAGACCGTAAGACTCCAGAAGGCATATTCTATATAGGACTTTGAGTTTGAGTTTTCCCTTTTCTCCTTTTGGTAGTACTATAATTTTCTAACCAAAAATAGAGTTTTATTTAACGCCGTCTTTCTAATATCGAATATTAAAATTTATATATGCTCATAATTATAATCTTCCATGCCGTATTATTCCATTGCTTTCTTCTCTAGAGGAGTAGTGTGTTTTCATGTATTAAGTATCAAAAATAACTTTCAATTTTAATGACAGAATTTCATCAGATAACATTGTATCATCGTTAACTTTTTTCTATTGTTATTCCCACGTGAGTTCTCATTTTCTCTTGATGCTTTATAAGCTGCTGCTTCTTCTTCTTCTTTCAATTTGCGCTTCCTCTTTCGTTACTTATGATATATCATGTAATTTTAATTACGCTAGCTTTTTCATCTTATCAACTTTAGTTTGTCAATTTCTCATATTAATTTTCTGAATTATGCAATTGAGGGTACAATTAGTATT